CTGTTGTGCTGGCTAGTTGTATGCTCACTTGACACAATCTGTAGTCACCTGAGAGGAGGGAACCCTCGATTGAGAAAATGCCTCCAGAAGATAGGGCCATAGGGAAGCCTGTAGAGCATTTTCTTAATTAGTGGTTAATGGGGGAGGGCATAGCCCATTGTGGGTAGGAACATTCTTGCTTGGGTTCTGTAAGAGAGCAGGCTGAGCAAGCCTTTATGGCTCCTGCTTCCAGGTTCCCACCCAGTTTGAGTTCATGCCTTTCCTTCCCTGAATGTACTGTGACCTGGGATATGTAAGTCAAATAAAATAAACTAAACCCTTCTCTCCCCAGGTTGCTTTTGGTCATGGAGTTTTATCACAGTAGTAATCCTAGCTTTGACAAGGAATGAGATGGGTTAGATGACACTGGTAGTATCTGCATCTATAATCAATCTTGATCATATCTGGAACTTGGAGAGCTTACAAAGAATATACAGTTACTCAAGAGGTGAAGCTAGATTTTAAATGCAACATCGACTTTTCAGTTGTGCCTGGCGTTGTAATTCTACATGAACTAACTTCCAAATACTCTATAAGATAAGTACTTCTCTCTTCATTTGATAAATGAAATAATCAAAATTGGGCCATTGAGATGGCTCAAAAGTTAAAGGTACTTTTTACCAGGGTAACATCTTGAGTTCTCTGGGACCCAAATAGCAAAAGGAGAGACCCAATTCTCCTACAAGTTGTATTCTGACCTCCGTGTTCCATTTCATGTGTGTTCCTGTTATTCCCCCACACTTCAATAAATATTAATCACATTTTAAAACCCAATCAAAATTTAGAGAAATTATCTAACCTGCCCTGTGCCAGACAACTAGCAATGGCACATCTGGGACTTTAGCCAGGTAGTCTAGTTCCAAGAGCTGTAACTGCTACAACACTATGAAGGGAGAGTCTAGGGAGTGGGCTTTTCAAGTGTGTTCATCTATTTCATATCTCGAGAGATGTGCCATCACTGGGCTTTCATGTCAAAACAGCACAATATCCAGAAAAGTGCCTAGCATAGAAAATGATATTTGAAGACAGGCTGAATAATAACACCCTGGCCCTGAGATGGTAGTCTCTGCTGGATTGTAGGAAAAAATGAAATCATTGAGACCCATGGCTGCTAACTGAATCTGTTATAGTGTAATTTTTGAAAAATCTAATGGAATAATATGCTGGATATGGTATCCCTCTTTAAAAATTCCTACCAGATCTATGCAACAGCCAAATATGAATCTAGTTTGTTATTCTAATGTTTACAAGTGTAATGCTGAAATAAATATTTCTATCCACCCCCCACCCCAAATCCTACCAGGGGCTAGAGAGGTGGCTCTGGTTAAGTGTACTTGCTGTCAATCATAAGCACAGAATTTTGAATTCCATTATTATATGGAGTGGCTCAAAACACCTGTAGCTCCAGCTCCAATGATGCTGAAGCTTCTTCTGGCCTTCACAGGTACCAGCACACATTACACAGACAGGTGCACACACATAAAACAAAAATCTTAGAATTTCCTTCCATCTTCTTCCCATTACAGGTGAGAAACAGGTTTGAGTATATGTTTCCTCAGAGTCCAGGCTAGGACTTGCACTTTTCTTGAAGTTCCAGATGTACTTTCTCTGTACAAGGTAGACATACATTTCAGGGCGGGTTCTGCCCCAGTAGCAGGATACCTTTTTCAAAGCTGTGTGAGAGTTGTGGGCTGTACTAGGATCTGTGGAATTTGCCATGCTGATGGAGTCTGAACAGATGCTGAACAAATCCTGACAAGCCTGTTATGTTAGTGAGGAATTCAATTATTTGAAGAGATAGGCTCAACCTTTGAAATTCCTTGTACTCAGAAATGTCTGGGTCTGTGAAATACGAGTTTTTTTTTTTTCGACATCTGGCACCACACTTTTTCACTGAGATAAAGTGTGCATGGTGGTGTGTCTCTAGCCCATCTCCTACCATGTGCCAGGCAAGAAAAAGAACATGACATGCCCCTCAGCAAATCCTGTGTCCAAACTTCTAAAAAAGACATTGGGAATTCACAGGACTGAGTTGAAGAACCGGTATGTAACACATGGCTGATTCTTGTTTTAGGAACCATTCAGGATAGAATAGATTGAGAGAAAAGCTCCTACAGACTGAATCAAAGGACTTAAAAAGATTAATATGGGTGACTAAGAATAACTTCACATGTTCTGTATCTAGCACTGGCCATGTAGACTATTTATTAGCAGCTTTTATATGAAGTTTAATAACCAAACTGCCAGATACTTCTCAGTCAAAGAAGTTTTTACTGCTTCCCCACCACCATCTTATTTCTTTTTAATAATGTAGGGACAATGAAGGCTGTGATGCAATCACAACCATATCTGATTCAATACCCACTGGAGTCATCTTCATTTACATGTGGGGGAGTTGTGAGGGGGTTATATCACCAACGGTCCCTCATAGCTACTGTAGGATTGGCTTTGTAAGCTGAGGGTACATAGGTAGAAACATCCTGCCAGTCATCTGACAAGGACACTAAGGAGAGCCTCCCCAGATCTACAGTGGGTATCAAATCTGGGAGAACTCAGTGACCCCCAGGGCACTAGGAGGTATATTGCTTGACAGAGATGAAGACACATGTTAGTGCTAACCTGACCTGGCCACTTCTTTCTGTGTGAAGTTAAAACAGTATCTCCAGTTCACTCTAGTTGTCTTTTCTTATAAGGTACATCTTAAGTTGCTCTCTAATCTATAGATTGGCTAACATCTAATCTACAGATGCCTAACTGGAAGTATCCACCAGCAGCTGCCTCATCTGAGGCTGCTAACTTCTCCAAACCAGATGCCACCTAGTCTCCCCCCCCCCCCCCCCAGCTCCCTCCTCAAGCTGCTGCAGGGTTTCTGCTAAGCTCCTGCAGAGGAGAGGGAATGGCCAGTCCTCCAGGAGCAGGCATGGTCTTGGGTCAGGTGGCTGGCAGAAGAGTGAGCAGCAGCCTCTTGCCTCTCTCCCTTCCAAGAATCCTTCCATCTCTACCTTCTGATCTGAACTTAACCCAGGTCTTCACACTTGGGAATGACCAGTGGAAGGCAAGGGACTGGGCCCAGGCTCCTTGAAGCCAGTACACTGTTGCCTGGGTATGTGCAGATACTGAAGGTGTTGATTGCTCATTCTCCTCCATCTTTACAGTTCTTAGAGGGTGCTAGTACAGGCTCCCACTGTGATTCATTTGTAAATTGTCATGATTTTCTGCATTAGAATGTTTGTAACGTTTTAAAAAAGATGCTCAGAGCAAAAAACCAGCCTTTTAAGGCTATATTGCTTTAATGTCAGCTAGAGTTGAATGATTTTATTTAGTTATAGATGTGATAAATACAACATTTAGTAAATGTCTAGCTCAGGCAGCTGCCAAGAAATCTGGTGAGCCAATGGGCATTTAAGTCTTTTTTCCATTTATTATGTGTATTGAGTGTTTTGCCTATATGCATGTTTGTGTTCATGGAGGCCAGAAGAGGGAGTCAGATCTCCTGGGATTGGGTTTGCAGACTGCTGTGAGCTTCCCTTGGGTGCAGACCTCAAATTCAGATCCTCTCTAAGTGGCCAGCTCTCTTAACTGCTTTTCAAGACCCAGCTTTCATCTCCTGGGTGGTGGTACCCTGCCTAGTTTCCTTCCCATCCTAACCAAGCTGGGTTAACATCGTCTTTGTATTTATAACCATTGTGGGGTGTATATTGCTTCCATATAACATTGTGGGGATGAGTTGGTACAGGATCTTACTATGTAGCCCTGGGTGACCTGTAACTTGCTATGCAGACCATGGTGGCCTGGAATTTGTGGTTTCTCCCTCCTCACCTCTGCAGTGCTGGATTACAATTGTACATTGCCCTGTCTGGCTTTTCCACCTATCCTTAAGATTAAGAATTGTAAATTGCATCTCTCCAGAACCCTAGCATCCAGCAACAACTGGTCCAAGAATTTTTGTTTGCTTGTTTTGAGACAGGGTTTCTCTGTGGAGCCCTGGCTGTTCTAGACCCCGACCAGGCTAGCCTTGAACTCAAGAGAGCTACCTGCCTCTGCCTCCCAAGTGCTGGGATTAAAGGTGTGTGCCATCACTGCCCTTCAGAATATGGCATTTTATCACAGCAATAGAAACCCTAAAACAGAAATCTATTCTATCCCCAACTTTTTATATTAAGGGGATCTGAGACCTGACTGGCCCAAGGCCCAAGATCAGTTAACAAAATAGTTTAGAACCTACCTAGAATCTAGCTAAGGGCATATTTCTACTGTCACTCAAATGCTCCCTTACTTTATTCAGTATTTTGTTTATGTCAACTGCACAAAGATCTTCCTTGAGCATAGATCTGAAATAGCCTCTACCCCTCATCCACTTTTTCAAAACTGATTTTACATACAACCTGTATCTGTTTACGAACTTTCTGCCCTAGCATCATGAATAAAAGTCATTTTTGCTATTTCTCTGGAGCCTACAACAGTGTCTGGCATATAAAGTGCTTTAAAAGATAGTTGGGTTGGGCATGGTAGCACATGCCTTTAATGTCAGAACTCACAGGGCAGAGGCAGGCAGATTTCTGTGAGTTTGGGGTCAGCCTTGTCTACAGAGAAAGTTCCAGGACTCTACATAGCCAGGACTGTGTAGAGAGATCCTGGCTCAACCGCCCCCCCCCACACACACTCTCCAAGCCCATCAAAAAAAGTTAGATTAATGGATAAAGGTTCCAAAGCATCAACTGTGGCGAGATCTTTAATGCTCTCAACTTTTTCAACCTGTTTTTGTATGGAGTTTCTCATACTTTGAACCTAACACATACTACATTACTAAACTTCAGTAAATAGCTCTGATCTAAGCAACCTTAAAAGCACAGGGACTCTGCATTTGTCTTCTGTCAATCTATCCCAAGGACGTAAACCCATGTTCTAAATGCACAGTAGAGTCTGCTGTGGAGAAAGGTAAGAGAGAGAGTCAAGACATGGTTGCTTAGTTATTTATTCTCCTCTGTGGGCTCCATCAGCAGGTGGAATGGAAGATGCCTCCTACTCTTAGCCCTCGGGCAACCAAGGCATTATACTCCTTCACTGCCTGCTCTGTCTGGAGGACCCGCACATTGATACCTTGTTTCTGGAGGTACTCCACAGTGGATGGAGGAACCTGGAAAGAAGGAAAAGAGATGAATAAGAAGGGGGAAAGGGGCCCCAGAAACTACTTTTCCTGTCATCAGGCAAGTGCACGTTACAGAATTAGACAGAACACCTGTCATATCTCAATTACCCAGTGTGCCACCACTCCAAAATCTGGCAGGGAGCCCCAGCGAATTCCATAAATGCTCCTGAGAAGCTGGGTTGTACTGCTGTGGTTCAGAATGTATGTGCATGCACGAGGCCCTGAGTCCACTCCCCAGTACCAGGTGGGAAAAACAGCACTGTCAAGTTCCCAAATGTCTCACACACATGCTTTAGCCCTGGTGAAAAGCAAAGGGGGAATGCAGCATTTTTGACTTGGCCCTAGACTGAAGCCCTTCTAGCGGTGTAATTGTAGCACTTCTTTCTGTGTTAATAACATTCACAGGGTTAGCTGTGAGACCGAGTTAAGATACAGAACACGTCCAACATGGTGCATATCCTATTCGGTGTAAAATTTTGAAGTTTAACCAGTGCAACTTTAGTTTAAAGGTGAACTTCCCATGTGCCAACCCAAAAGTCCTTCCACTAACTTTTCAGCATAAACCCTCCAGTTTCCTCTCCCATAAAGCAGGGCTAACAATACTTATATCACAGAGTTTATATGAGGGTGTCACTGGCACTGTATATATTCTGCAACTCAAATGTTTTCTTGGAGTGCACAGTGAAGGCTGGTACAGAGAACAGAGCACTCATAAGGCACTGATTGCTTACAGTGTTTATTATCTGAAGTTATCTAGTTTTTGGTGTTTTAAAATGAATTTTTAGATTTATTTTATTGATATATATATGGTGTTTTGTCATGGACACTGAGTGTAACTGGTGCACAGACATACTTGTAGGAAAAACAATCTCTGTGAGTTTGAGGCCAGTCTACTACACATACTGAGTGAGTTCCAAGACAGCCAGGGCTCCACAGTGAGACACTGACTCAAAAAACAAACAAACAAACAAGATAGCATCTCTATAACTGCATTTATGAATATTTTAAGTGTGTTTCTACAGCTCAGACACTGTTCCAGGCATTGAGGACACTGAGCTAAATAAGGTGAATGAGGTTTTGTTATTATCATCCATTAAAAAGCAGGCTACAGGAAGCTGAAGAGGTGTCTCAGCTGTTAAGAGCACTTGTTGCTCTCACAGGTTTGAGTCCTAGCATCCACATGGCAGCTCACAAACTATCTGTAACTGTAGTCCTGGAAAGCTGCACTCTTTTGGCCTCTACAGACACCAGACACATACACAGGACAAAGATGTTCACGCAGGTGGAACAATCATACATAAAAATAAAAGATCAATAAATCTTCTCTTAAGTCACAAATATTTAATTCTGTGTGTATGGGTGTTTTGCGGTATGTCTGTCTGTCTATGCACCACAGTCATGCCTAGTGCTTCTGTAGACCAGAAGAGAGTATCAGATCCCTGGAACTGGAGTTCTAGTTGTCAACCACTGTGGGTCCTCTGCAGTGTTCTTAAGTGCTGAGCCATCTCATAAGGACTGCTTAGTTCTCTGCATGTAAAGTAGCAATCTGGGCTCAGCAGTTCATGCTTCTACTTCCAGCATATGGACAGTAAAGGCAGGTCATCACAAGTTCCAGGCCAGTCGGGGATACAGAGGAAGACCCTGACAAAAACTAAACTAAACTAAAAACGACACAGAACTGGGGGACAGAGTGGAGCTCAGCTCGTATACACTTGCCTAGCATTTGTGGAGCCCTGAGTTAATCTCCTAGCATGGCATAAACCATATGATAGTGCGTACTTATAATCTTGGCAGCCAGGATGTAGGGGCAAGAGGCCCAAAGGTTCAAGGACCAAATATGTGCCTTTTAATGGCTTTCCAGGCAAAAAATGGAGCCCATGTTTCAGAGTACATCACCTACTGACACTGTTGCTGTTCTGTGAACACACACTATGATGTTCACACAGTGATAAAGACAGACAGCGAACTACTCAGAATGTATCTCTATTGTCGACCCACACATGACTGACTGGATAACTGTAGAACATGAGAAATTCTGGAACTGAGGTATTTGTGAGAAATGGTTCAAACACAATCAGGGTTGGGCACAGACTTGGGAAGCTCCATTCTGACTAGTGGAGTAGTGTGTGCAGTCTTACTCACCCTAGGCCACTTACTGCTCAGCAAATGAGAAGACATGAAATGTAGTTGAACTCCAATGACAGAGATACCCGTGAAAGCTAAGGTCCAAGAGATAAATATCTGTCCTCACAGATGTTGTAGACACCAGAACCTACCTTCAAGGCCTCATTCATTCCTCTGCCAATCACCAGAGTCTGCACACCCTTCTCAGCGACTTCCTTTACATCTGCAGGCTGCACCCCAGGGGAATGCTGGGCATGGAGGAGAGAGCAGAAGGTACCATCTTTCATCACAATTGTTTTTAAAGTATTTTTATTTTGCCAGACAATGGTGGTGCATGCCTTTAATCCTAGCACTTTGGAGGGAGAGGATCTCTGTGAGTTTGAAGCCAGCCTGGTCTACAGAGTGAGTTTCAGGACAGCCAGGGCTGTTACACAAAGAAACCCTGTCTCAAAACAACAACAAACAAACAAAGATTTAGATTTAGGAAACAATTAAGAATCCTGGGGCTGGGCATATAAGGAAACATGAAGAAACACTGCCTTAAAAATAAATTAATTAATTAAAAGAAATGATAAAAGAAAAAGGGAAAGGTAAGCACAAAAGCCTGCATTCTCACATTACAAATAAAGAAACCAAAGTTCAGTTGGGTGTTGGTTTAGTCCCAGCACTTGGGAGGCAGAGGCAGGTAGATCTCTATGAGTTTGAGGCCAGCCTGGTCTACAGAGTTAGTTCTAGGACAGGCTCCAAAGCAATACAGACGGAAAAATCCTGTCTCAAAAAACAACCAACCAAACAACAATAACAAAAAAAAAAAAAAAAAAAAAAAAAAAGAAAAGAAAGAAAAGAAAAAAGAAAGAAATCAAAGCTCAGAAGAAATATACAACTTAGCTAAGATGACCCAGTTGGCAAGTGGTAGAGCTGGGACTTGAACTCAGATACACACTACTTTTGCTTATAATGAATGTTCTTTACTGGGCTCCGATACCAAGGAGCAACCTCCTCGAAGCTTGAAAGAATAAAACAGTTGAAAACAACAATAAATGATCATTGATTTGTTATAAGTTAGCTGATGGACTATTACTTACCAAGAAAAAACAGAACAATTTAATGATACATATGTCAACACTTGAACAGCAAAACTTAAATAAGGCCTGTGTATTAGATAATGGTATTTGTTAGTTCCTGATTTTAATCATTGCCTCATAGTGGAAGAGAACAGAATAGAGCTAAGAGACTCTGAGGAATATTTCTGCTACAGTTTCTCTGTTTTCTTCAAAGAGCAAAAGAATTTAGAGGATTAGATATGTGTGTATTTTTGTTTTGTTGTTTTTGTTTTGTTTCTCTGCAGTGCCCTGTCTGTCCTGGAAGAGAAGAAATTTAGAGAACTTGATTGTTTTCTTAAAAAAAATATTTAAATTTGTGGGCTGAAGAGATGACCCATTGGTTAAGAGCATGGGTTATAGTGGGCATGATGGCACACACCTTTAATCCCAGCACTTGGGAGGCACAGGCAGGCAGATCTCTGTGAGTTCCTGGTCAGCCTGGTCTGCAGAGTGAGTTCCAGGACAGCCAGAACTACATAGTGAGACCCTGTCTCAAAAACACCAAAAACAAAACAAAACAAAACAACAACAACAAAAGAACACTTGTTTCTTTTCCAGAAGACTCAGTTTTGAGTCCCAGCACCAACATGGTGGCTCACAGCTGTCTGTAACTCCAGTCCTAGGGGACCCAATGCCTTCTTCTGGTCTTTGTGGACACTACATGCAAATGTTGCACAGACATACATGCAGGCAAAATATCTACACACACAAAATAACAATAAACATTAAATTAAAAAGGTATTTGAGACTTAAACATCTTAATTGGGGTTTATTTTATGTGTAAGTGTTTTTCCTTCATGAATATTTGTATATCATGTGCTGTGCATGTCTAGTGTCTGTGGATGTCAGAAAGGAGTGTCAGATCCCCTAGTTACAGACAATTATGAGCCACCATGTGAGTGCTAGAAAGTAAAACAGGATCCACTTAAGGAGAAACAAGTGCTCTTTGTTAACTCCTGAGATAATCTCTTCAGTCCCAGATTATGTGGTTTGAAAATTATTTAAAACTTTTAAAAGGCAAAATTCAACTACTTCTTAAAGACTATAAAATGGTGATTGAATCAGATGCTTTTCTTAGTCCCATACTCTGATCAATCCTAGATCCACCCTGAACTTAATAAACATGACTTAGAGAATTTACATGCTTTTTGTTTGTTTCTTTTGTTTTCTGGAGCTGTGACCACAATGAACATTTGCTAGAATTACAGGTCAGGGTTGGAGAACTTCACCTCTCTTGAATAAATGCATTTAGGTGAATTATTGGGCTGTTATTTCATTTAGTAAGAATAGTAACTGTTTTGAATCGAGCCACAACCCCCAAACTCTTAGTAGTAACTATCATGCAATAAGACTGCTGACTGGCTAGAAATGCAGTGAAAGGCAGTAATGAGTGCAAACTGTAATCCCCTGGAGATGCCGGTCAGAGTTGCTTGATCAGTGGAACACAGGTGATGAATTCAGCTGTGCTGCCTGCCACTGCTGCTATCCTGCAGGATCACAGTGTCTACTGAGCAGTAGAAGATAACAGCGGGGCCTGCGGATCCAGGCACAGGCAGTAATTACTCTCAGCTTCTCCTGCAAACCTGGAATTGGAGCATCACTCTGTTATCAAGGCATCTTCGACCTGCCCTCAGCTCCTGTGTGCTTCCAGGTCCTTAAGGCAACCGAGGCTCTCATTGAGAATGGTTCTGCTCTTCATTAAGAGGCTTTTATCACACACCCTAGGGTTTTAAAGCTGGACTTTTTTCTTGGGGGAAAGCTATTAATTGTAGAACACTGTCTTAACTGCTACCCCTTAGGGCAGCCAGACAAGAGGATTTATTCCTTTGTGCCTCAGAAATCTTATGATCAAACTGAAAAGGAAACATGCCTAAATTAAACCTGAATCATTTCCTTCTGCCAAAATTACAGGCTTGCGAATGGACAGTAGGAATGCTATTAGCTGGCTGCACTGTGATAAAAGTAGAATCTGTGAGGGCAGGTTAAAGAATGCTGGAATCTATCCCCTGCAGATACTCTCTGAATTGTGTTCTCATTGTCCCTCACCTGAATGAACAAGCCACTTGACAGATCTCTTACTCTACAAGGGCACTGGCTGCTTTTCTGCTAGTTATGGTGAAACTTCTGCCATTTCTCCACAGTGATTTTAGCCTCCCTCATTCCAACCTTGGGCCGGAGGAGCCCTGAGTTTCACTTTCAACAACCTTTCTATGGCCCCACTAATATGGGGAGATTGAAAATGATCTTCTGTTACATGTGTGCCCATGCCCTTCACTCTTGGGAATGAGACATGTCCTGTGGGGTAATGCATAAGATTCAGAATCAAACTGCACCAGGTCTAAATCCCCCCCCCCCCCCGTGTTTCAGGGTTGGCAAGGCCCACATACAGCTTTGTTTTGAGGACAAACTATATGTCAGAAAGGATCTGGAACTCCAATGCCCACTTCTTAACTCAAGCTGTGTATCTAGGTCTCTTTCCTCTTAACTAAGCCAGGAGCCTGATCTTGCCTATAATTCTGGCCCATAAGGACTGAATTCTCAACAACAACAACAACAACAAAAATTAGTCATTGTCAGAAGCTGGAGGTGTAGGACAGACAAAGTGGCATTGGCTGCTCATGGTTGTGGGGGTTCTTTTAGGGGCTAATAAATATATCTTGGGATTACTATAATAGCAACTGTACAAGCTTATAAGTATGAATTTTGGGGCCCATTGTATTACATTGTGTAGTTTATTTTGTGTGTATGGGTGTTTTGACTACAAGTATGTCTGTACACCATGTGATTCCCTGGTGCTGGAGGAGGTCAGAAGAGAGTGTTAGACACCCTGGAACTGAAGTTACAGATGGTTGTGAGCTGCTATGTGAGTGCTGGGGATCGAACCCAGGTCCTCTGGAAGAGTAGCCAGTTCTCTTAAATGCTGAGCCATCTTTTCAGCATTACATTGTGCACCTCAAAAGGGTAAGTTTAATGGTGATGCATATACTTGGCAGAGAAGAGAGAGAACTTGGCTGTTTAAGAGTTGGAAGTTGCTTGGCCAGCCTCCTGTATTGTCAACCAATCTAATTTCTAGAGTCTTACCTCAGTTCCTGTTTCTCTCCAATCCCAAGCCCTACTGCCTCCTGGCCATACTTTGCAATCCTTATAGGTTAAGGCAGAGCCTTGCACTTTCATTTGTCCCCAAGAAAGGGAAGCAATTGTAGGGGAAGCCATAAGTAACAGCTGAAATCTGAAATTAAAAGAAAAAGATGTTAAGTCAGTCACTAATTCTGAGATAGACCCCCCCCCCAATTCTCTACATGAGAGTTGCCCTTCTCTAACAAGATCTGTACCCCACGGTGGATGCAGGCATCTACTGAGCACTTCTCTAAGACATAGACATTATTCTTGGGATCTGGAATCATGAAAGCACAGAGAGATGGTAACTATTCCTCAGACTCCATAGGTAATCCTCAAGATAAAGTTTGAAAGTGGAGATTTATCAGGGCGGTGGTGGTGCATGCCTTTAGGCCTAGCCCTTGGGGGGGCAGAGGTAGGCAGATGTTTGTGAGTTCCAGGACATCTAAGTCTACACAGAGAAACCCTGTCTCGGAAAAACAAAAAACAAAACAAGCAAACAAACAAACAAAAAAAAAAAGTGGAGCTTTATTTCAGTATGATGGAATAAGGAGGTGGTTAGTCTTATTTCAATATAAACAATACAGCCCTCCCCATTCTATAATAACTTGGCCAGCAAGATGGGGATCTGGCACCAAGCCCAACAACTTCAGTTCAGTCCCTGGAGCCCACATGGTAGGAGAAGAGAACTGACGAGAACTGACTCTCACACATTTACTCACATGCACATGCCCGAGAGCACACACACACACACACACACACACACACACACACACACACACACACACACAAAACAAATATAAAAGAAAAACCCAAGCTGGCAAGCTGGAGATACAACTCTGCACTTAGAAATACTTGTTGCTCTTTCGTGCAACCTAATTTAGTTCCTAGTAACTATAGGGCCCAGCCATGACGGCAATACTTCGTTCCAGGAAAGATCACAAACTGAGATACATAGGCATCACCCAGAAACAGGCCATCCAAGGAGAAAATACCTAACATTGCAACCACTGTAGATAAGATCACCAGATGTCCCTTAGCTCAGCACATGCCCATCCCCTCTAAGCAAGACACCCCTAGATGTCAGCCAATCAGGGGTCCTGAACCTTAGAAATCCTTTACCCCAACCTCTGCTATGATAAAAACCACACTCAACTGGGCTTGAGGCTCTCTGATCATGCCAATTCGTTGGATACAAGGAGGGTCCAAGTTCAAATTTGAATAAAGGCTCTTTACTTTTATAGATGGGATTTGGTCTCCTTGTCAGTTTTTAGAGGAACTCCAAGATCTGGGTATAACAGTATACATGTTGAACAGCTCATAACTGCTAGTAATTCCAGTTCCGGGGATCCATTCTCATCAGCCTCCAAAAAGAACTACACACAGGTGGCATACATGTAGGCACACATTCATATGTGTAAATTTAAAAAAATAAAATATTGCCAGGTGCAGTAGCCTTTAATCCCAGTGCTCAAGTGAGCAATTGGTGACCTCAATGCTCACACATGCATACATGTTCACACACACCCTGACAGTACACTAGCACACATTACTATGTACATACACACGCACAAAAGATGAAATTCTCAAAGGTGACAGTCACAGAGGAGGCTTGTATAAACTCTCTACATATCCCAAGTAGAACAGAAACCACAAGCTGATGTTCCAAAGGCCTGGGTAGCTTAATTCACAGGAACATTACAAGCTGATAACACCTACACACATGAACAAAGAGAAGCCTGAGGCATAAGAGTGTAGGCAGATATAAAAACCAATAAAAACAAGTGGGATTTTTAATTAATCCTTCAGTGCACACATGGATCAATTAGTACACAAAACTCTTGCTGGCTCAAGATGTATGAATATTGAATTTATTTGTGGCTGAATACTAAACTACATAGACATAGAGGAAACTCCTGGAAAACCAGCCTTTACAGGCAGATTTCTGAATTCAAGGCCAGCCTGATCTGCAGAGTAAGTTCCAGGACAACTTGGGCTACACAGAGAAAACCTGTGTTGAAAAGCCAAAAGAAGTGGAAACTAACGGGGTGGGGGTGGAGGGGGGTGTTGGCAGCAGAGGCAGAGGCAGGCGGATCTCTGAGTTCTGAGTTCAAAGCCAGCCTGATTTTCAAAGAGAGTTCAGGAGAGTCAGGGCTATACAGAGAAACCCTGGATAGAAAACAAAAACAATAAACCAATAAAGAAAAAAAAACAGCCTTTAAAACAAAAAACAAGATGAATCAAAAGAAAAAACTGAACAGGTAGGTATTCTAGTGGCCACATACTATAGGGAATCAGAAATGATAGCTTTGAGTATTGTGGTTTGAATGTCTTCCAAATTTGCATGGAGATTTAATTCTAGAAGTTTTTTTGTTTGTTTGTTTTTTGTTTTTTGAATGTTTCATGGTTTCTCCGTGTAGCCCTTATTGTCCTGGAACTGGTGCTGTAGATTAGGCTAACCTGGAACTCACAGAAATTTACCTACCTCTGCCTCCCGAGTGTTGAGATTAAAGGTGTGAGCCACCACTGGCCCAGCTAGTTGTAGCATTTAAGAGGTTTTTAATTTGTTTTATCTATTTATTTATTTTTTTATAGACAGAGTTTCTTTACTGTGTGGCCCTGACTGTCCTGAAATTCTTACATGGATCAGGCTGGCCTGGAACTCAGAGGTTCACCTGCCTTTGCCTCCCAAATGGTGGGGTTAAAAGAATTTGTCATCAAACCAGGCTTGTTTGTTTTGATACTGGGCTCAATGAATCTCAACTGGTACTGAACTCATTATGTAGCTGAGGATGACCCTGGTTTTCTAATCCTCCTGCCTCTACCTCATAAATGCTGGTATTACAGGCTTGTATGACCATATCCATTATAGCCTATGGTGGTGAGGTTCAAAACCAGGTCATTCTGCAAGCTAGGCACTCTACCTTTGTTTTTGTTTCTTTGAGACAGGATCTTAAGTAGTAGAGTAATCTCTAACTAGTGATCCTCTTGCTGGGTAAGAAGTGGAGCTTCACAGAATTGGTAAGACTATAGCTATAAGAACTTTATTCTTATGTGTTTTGCAAATAAATAAAAACATCACACACCAAAATTCTAGTGAGCTATTATTGCAGGAGTAAGTAGTGCTGGAGTAGGTTCCTTACAAGAGGAGGAGATTGATGTCTTTTATCCCAACCTCCCTTCCTTGTCCTCTCTTTGCTCTTCTACTGTCACAGGGTGATGCAGGAGAATGTCCTTTCTAGAGCTGGTTCTTGATCTCAGACGTTACAGCTTCCAGAATTGTAATAAATACATATCTGTTAAGTGTATAATGCTTAGCCTCAGGTATTCTATCATAGCAGCATAAAACAGGATAAGTCATTTAGTATAAGCAAATAATTCAACACCTAAAACGTTCAAGACTTCCTTTATTATCTAAAATGTCCAGTTTTCAACAAAATATTGACATTTGAAAGAACCCCAAAAGTGTAAACACTGTCAGTCAAGTTAATGTACCTGAGTGTTCTCAGATTTGTGATTCTAAATTTAATAAAAAGTAGAATGACAATGATTCAGTTGATATGTAATCTCAATAGTCATTACAAAATACATAACAGAAGTATACTGTTTTGAGTAGTATGAAAGGGAGACAAATTTAAAAAACTCAATTCCCATTTTTGAGGCTATATAGTCCACTATAGAAGAGAAAACATATATTTTCCCAGGAATAGTGGTGCACTTTTTTAATCTTGACAGATGGGCTCTGTGAGTTCAAGGTCAATTTGCTTTACACAGCAAGTTCCAGAACAGTCAAGACTACACAGAAGGATCCTGTCTCGATAAACAAACAAACAAACAAGCAATCCAACAAAGTATTTTTCCCTTTCAAAAATATAATTTTTTAAAAATCAAAAAATGCTAAGAAGGATGGTGTATGCCTTTATTCCCAGCACCTATCAGACCCAGGCTGGGGCCAGCCAGGGCTACAGAGTGAGACCCTGTCAAAAGAAAAAAAAAAAAGAAATTAGTTTTTCTCTCTCTCTCTCTCTCTGTGTGTGTGTGTGTGTGTGTGTGTGTGTGTGTGTGTGTGCGCGTGTGTGCATGGCGTGTTTATGTAGAGGGTAGGACTGCTTCTCTCTTTCCTGCTGCCTTGTGGGTTCCAGGGTGGGATTCAGGTGGTCAGTCTCTACCTGCTGAGCTGCCCCCAGGAAAACTTTTCAGAAGCAGCACAATGAATTATGGGAAATAGTGAATTGGTATGAGCAGAGGATGTCTATATCTGTAGCTTGAGGGATGTGCTATGGTTTCTAACACAAAACATCACAGGCTGCTTAAATGACAGGACTTCTTTTACTCACTTTGGAAAGCTAGAGTATACAACCAAAATGCCAGCAAGGTTGGTTCCTGGTGAGACCTGTTTATGGCTTGCAAATGGACACCTTGCTACCCTGTCACATAACCCTCCTATAACCATGTACTGGTGCTGCTTCCTATCCTTTGTAATTAAAAAAAAAGAAAAAGAAAAATGATGTATCTTTATTTATGTGTATGTGCACATACACATAAGTTTACTGCCTGCATGCAGGAGCCCAGAGAGGCCAGTAGAGAGCATTGGATCCTTTGGAACTAGTTTCAGATGGTTTTGAGATACCTCATGGATGCTGGGAATCAAACCTGGGTCTTCTGCAAGATCATTCAGCACTCTTAACTGATGAGCCACCTCCCTAACTCCTTTCTGGAGGGAGAGGAGGAAGCCAAAGAGCAGTATTCTGAGTAGTGCACAGCCATTATAAAGACCAGGGCCTCAGACTCATGGGAGACTGGCAGTCTTCTTCCTTATCCAAGTTCAAGTGTTTACAGATGATTGATCAGTGTGTACAAAAACTACCAACTATAGCTCCTGAGTTTCCCCCTCTTCCTGTTTTCCTAAAGAGATTAGCTGACCCCACCTTTCCCATGCTGTACACAATAAACACAACGAGGTTCAGAATTGTTGAGGTAGTTAGTGCTGCTTCTTTAGAGTGAGTACCACCCATCTTTCCTGTAGCTTTGTGTGTATCACTTTAATATTATTGTCCTTTCTTTATTCCCTTGCCATCCTCAGTCTGGTTTCTAGATCCATGACACAAGCTTCTCTGCACCTCTCCTTTC